GTCTTGTCTTTGGCTGTAGTTTCCTTTCTTTTCATTGTCTCAGTAATACTCATCTTGGCAGTGAAGTATTACAGATGGAGACAGTCCCGTTATTTCTATGAATCCAATGTGAGCCTCCCCGTTTTTCCCAGTGCGTTTTACCCACCCCGCTACGCAGATGTTGGTGCAACAGGAACTCTACAGCACGTGTATAATTACGAGGTGTGTTTAACGACTGACTCGAGAAAGAATGATCCTAAGTGCGCCCGACCTTGCAGCCAGAACCTTTTAATTGTGGACCCCAGTTCAACAGAAACAATGGAGCATGAGCGAAAGGATGGTACTGATCCAGATATCGCGGTGAGCCTTCATTTCCCTCCCTTTTTAAATCTGTTTTTACCTAAAAATAAAGACTTATGCAGTCGAGATCGGTTGCTCATATGTGATCTTTTCCTCTGACGTTTTTGTTACAGATGTGATTTAATAATAATTCGATCAACTTGAGTCTGTATCTCTGTGTGTTTATGTGTTTTTTTGACAAAATTACCCTAGTTTTGTTTCTCCTTTCCGTAACGCTCTTTCGTTACTTTTACGTCTTTGGTGATTCTAAGTATAATTGATCATAATCATAATCATCGATTTTAATTATAACACCCTTCACCCCCAAAAAACTCCCAAAGTGTTTTGCACACACTGAACTGTAGGAGGGGGGGAGCTTTCTTCCCCACTCAAGCGCAGCACCCAGCTGGGTAGAGCAGAGGCGGAGCAGGGAGAAATTATTTCACCAGTTGAATCAAAGGGGAGGTTGTGTAGTAAGTTACAGTATATGTAAAGATATGTAAGGTTACCAGATTCAAGACAAAAGTATAATGTCTTGTAATTAAGTTTAATTTAGCTAATAAATTGAAATTACAGCCATACCCTTAAGAACAGGTTTAATGTCTCATCTGAATGGTGGCGCCAGCTACAGCAGGAGAATTTAGGTGATAGCATCCTTCTCTCATGTGTACTGTATGTGTTGTGCTATATTTGTATTGCCAGCTTAATTTGTTTTTTTCAAAGTGCAGGTTATTCTTTGTTTCTATGACATCCATATTTTCTCGATGCTACCCACTCTTTCAGATATAACTGTTTAAAATCATTAGCAAATGATTTAAGCTTCGGACTGTTCGATTTTTACTGTGTGGTGTTTGAAAGTACTGTACACTGAAGCAGAGATACGTGTGTATGTGCCAGATACATTTTTGCACTTTCTTTATTTGAGCTCTAAGTGCCGCTGTTGATCAAGAAGGCAGAGTTGCCAAAATAATACACTACAGACCTCCCATACTTGTGCGGTGAAAGAGAGAGACATCACATTCATCTGATGCGCTTGGAAAAGAATCGGACTGCCGGTGACGATTATATTTTTATCTAATCAGATAGGGAGACGGCCTTAATGTAAAGATCAGATTTCTCAAATACATTGGAACAGCGTTTGTGTTTATATTCCATTGTTTACTATGTGGATTTCTATAACTGGGCGTGCGAAAATTGCTTCCGCAACGGCAAGCTCTTTCACGAAACGGCAAGTACACATTTTTATTGTTCTGTGGTTCGTCGGAATGGTTCTTGGAGAAATTCGTTATTCAATCCCAGAAGAAATGAGGAAAGGGTCGTTTGTGGGTAATATAGCGAATGATTTAGGAATAGATCTCAAAAGAATGAAATCTGGCGGGGCTCGAATTGTCAGTGGTGATAATAGCGCATATCTAGAGCTAAATAAGGACAAAGGGATACTTATTGTGAACGAAAGGATAGATAGAGAAGAAATATGTGGGCAAATATCACCCTGCATCTTAAGCTTTGAAGTAATTATTTCACATCCGATGGAATTGCACAGTGTCGTGGTGGAAATATTCGATGTTAATGACAACGCTCCTGCATTTAGTGAAAAAGAAATCAAACTAGAAATCATCGAGTCAGCTCTGCCAGGGACTCGCATACTGCTGGAGAGTGCGACGGATCCCGATGTCGGCGTAAACACACTCCATAGCTATTTTTTAAATCCGGCAGATAAATTTAACCTAAAAGTACAAGTTCGGCCTGATGGTAGCAAATCTGCAGAGGTTTTTCTGCAGGTTCCCCTAGACAGAGAGAAGGAAGATAATCTATTTTTAACTTTAACTGCTGTCGATGGTGGGGAACCCCAGAGGTCAGCAACTCTCAAAATACACATAATAGTGCTGGATGCAAACGACAATGCTCCCGTCTTCACACAAGTAATGTACAAGGCTGAAGTAATTGAAAATTCAATGAAAGGAACTTTAGTGACGAAAGTAAGCGCGACTGATAATGATGAAGGAGTTAATAGGCAAGTAACTTACTCTTTCAGTGGTATTGCAGACGATGTCGCAAATCTCTTTGCTTTAAATGAAAACACCGGTGAAATTATTGTGATTGGGAACATTGACTACGAAAAAAGTAGAAATTATGAACTGAACGTGCAAGCCAAGGATTACGGTGGACACATGGACTCAACCAAAGTGATTATTGAGGTTATCGACGTCAATGATAACGTTCCTGTTATAACCTTAACCTCATTCTCCAGCACGATTTCAGAAGATTCGGAAAGCGGTACCACAGTCGCGATTGTTAATGTCAAGGACTTAGATTCTGGGAAAAATGGAAAAGTCAATTGCTCAGTTAATGAAAAAAATCCTTTTAAAATCAGATCGTCTTTAAAAAATTACTACACGTTACTGACTGACGGTCCATTAGACAGGGAGCGAGATGCGGAATATAATATAACCTTTACAGCTGTCGACGAAGGTTCACCCCCGCTTTCAAGTAGTAAAATGATCTCTCTTAAAATTTCCGACGTGAATGACAATGCTCCTGTTTTCGATCAGAGCACGTATTCAGCCAGCGTGATGGAAAACAATTCTCCCGGATTGTCTGTATTTTCTTTACAGGCCAAAGATTCTGACTGGAATCAGAATGCTCGTATCTCCTACCTGTTGGTAGAATCTAATTTGGATGGGGTCCCCGTATCATCCTATATTTCTGTTAATTCAGAAAGTGGTGCCATATACGCTGTTCGATCATTTGATTATGAACAAATTAAAGAGTTTCACATACAAGTAAAAGCCCAGGACGGGGGCTCACCACCCCTTAGCAACAAGGTGACTGTAAAAATATTTGTTTTGGATCAGAACGACAACGCTCCTCAAATTCTCTATCCAGTGCACACTGATGGGTCTCTAGTGGCTGAAATGGTGCCTCGTTCAGCAGATGTTGGCTATCTTGTCACTAAAGTTGTTGCTGTTGATGCTGACTCTGGGCAAAACGCCTGGCTCTCATATAAACTGCTGAAAGCGACAGACAGGGCCCTGTTTGAAGTGGGATTACAGAACGGAGAAATAAGAACTTTACGTCAGGTCACTGATAAAGACGCTGTGAAACAGAGGCTTGTTGTTGTAGTGGAGGACAACGGGCAGCCCTCTCGTTCAGCTACAGTGAATGTGAACGTGGCGGTGGCGGACAGCTTCCCTGAGGTGCTCTCGGAATTCACTGACTTCTCTCAGGATAGTAATGGGAACTTGACGTTTTATTTAGTCTTGGCTCTGGCTGCTGTGTCTTTTCTTTTTATCATCTCAATTGTAATCCTTTTGGCATTGAAATTCTACAGAAGGAGACAAAGTCGTTTTTTCCTTAAGTACAACGAGAATGGCCCTGTCATTCCAAGTGCGTATTTTCCACCCTGTTACGCAGACGTTGGTGAAACTGGAACTCTACGACACGTGTACAATTATGAGGTGTGTTTGACTTCTGACTCTCGTAAAAGTGAAAGCAGATACATAAGACCAGTTAGCCAAAATCTCGTGGGTATTGATGCAAGTGGCACGGATACAATGCCTAAAGCGCAGGAGAAAGCGGCAGTTGGGAATGCTGAGCTGTCAGTAGAGGTAAGTTTATTTACATGCTGTAGATTGTGTCCTAAGTCCCTGATTTTAATATATTGTGTGTTTTAAATTCTGAAGGTCTCATATCAGTTAAAGCATTTAACTATTTCGCTGCCAGTTTGTTTAACACTTACAATCAACAATGAGTTGCAGCTTTTTTACTGGTAAATACAAACGTACAAACGTTGTATTACATAGGAATATATTCATGAAAACATTCATTTGAAGATTCTAAGATTACAGAGGGGTTGTGTGCTGCGGAAGAATGCAAATATGTGTTGCAATAATACCTTTGTAGTGCGTTTATAACATAATTATTTTTAACAAATGTGAACCTTGAAAAGATTCACTTGTAATATCTTATTTGCAATGCTAAGATTTCCAATTAGTACTTTTTCTATTCGTTTTCTCTTAGTTTAATGACAGTAAGCTCAGGACAAATTAATACAGCCCAATCTTAAGGTCACGCAGGGAAAAATAATAAAGGTGAATTTCCCTTATTTCGAGATGCAGCTTATTTTAAACAGTCGGCTTAGTCTTCATTCATTTTGTATGACAACCATTGTCACCAGAAGTGTGGAGAAGAGTAAATTTAACTTATTGAGCCTCCAAATAATAATTTTACTATTCTTTATATGGGCTCTAAGTGCCGCTGTTGATCAATAAAGCAAAAATAAAACGAACCTCCCATTTTATTGCGCTGTAGCACAGACACCGACAGAGAGAGCAGTTCACACCGCACAGCGTCCTTGGAATACAAAACAGCTTTCGCGAATACTGCATTTTGTGTTTTTGTTTTATCTGTGTGGCCTTCTAACATTGGGTGTCTGGAAATTCAGTTTAAAATTGCCTGTTTTTCAAATGGTAAGATTTGTCGGGATTGCTAGCGAAAAAAGAAACGACGAGGACAATGAGACGGCAAGTACAGCTCTTCATCCTTTGTGTATGGGTTGTAGGAGGACTTCATGGCCAGATTCGTTATTCTATCCCAGAAGAAATGAAACCGGGTTCGTTTGTTGGTGATATCGTAAACGATTTAGGAACAGATGTAAAAAGACTCGTTAGTGGTAAGGCTCGTATAGTCACAGCCAAATCTGGGGAGCATATTGAGCTAAACCTGGAAAAAGGCGTATTGGTTGTAAAGAAGAGAATAGACAGGGAGCAGCTTTGTGGGCAAAATTCTCCCTGCGCAATCAGCTTCGAGCTCATTATTGAAAATCCTATGGAATTACATCACATTATCGTAGAAATTTTGGATGTTAACGACAATGCCCCC